ATGCATTTCTTCTTATGCATGTATGTGTTATAATTGGATGGTTACAATTGGATCCTGTGATAGCCATATGAATATGCACTCTCAGTCTAGGTTCATATAGGTGCTGAGTAAAACCCCTCTTAATTACTTACAGTGTTAGTTTGCATTTCAGGTGCATTTCAAGGGTATTAGAAAGCTCTCTTAAAGCACTTAAACTGCATTTTTATTGGTTTATGACAAGAAAATGCACCAAAGTGCATACCAACGCCTTAGATACATTTAGACCGTGTTTTTGCCACATCTACGTTGACTTGGATTGAAAAGTTTTGCAAGCTTCCCAAGCTGCAATGCCTGCCAAATATTGCAGGCGAGATCAAAATCTACAGGAAGATATGCAAAGCAGTGTAAACATACTAAGTGCATTAGGCCATTGCTGTTCATGTAAAGAACTTGAATTTGCTTTGTAAATAATTTAAAAAGGCTTTTTAAAGCATAGTAAAATCTGTATTTTTATTCTTACCTACAGGTAAGCGTATAATAAAGCTTACATGTAGGTAAAATAAATATCTCCTAAATGTACACCGCTCAGAACATATTAAGGTGAGCAGCAGCTGGTGACGTCTGCGTCGCATACGTTCTGAAGGAAATGCATAGCTGTGCCGTTCCTTCAGAGATCTGTACTGTGGCCAGGGTGCGCAGTAGTGTGTAGTGACATCATTGCGGCTCGGTCTTTCAAGCATTTCTGTGAACTCAAAAGGAAGACCAGGTGAAGATGGAAGCCTCTGAAGTGGTGACAGCACGCCACTGGAGGGCTTTGTTTCAAAGTAAGTCTTTCATAATGTGTTAGTATGCAATGCATACCAGCACATTATGCCTTTACCTTGCAGGGACAGTTTTTATTTTTTTCTTTAATCAACATTGACTACCTCTTTATTGTGAAACAAATTTAAGTCTGATGACAAGCTGGTCTTTCATACAGTTTTTAAATTTTTTTTTTATATATTTTTACATATTTTTTACATATTTTTGATTCATACACATTTCTTTCTTTTGTTCACATATTAATTTGTTGTGCGGGTGTAAGTATATTGTATTAAATGTGAAGCAAATTACTGTTTTTATATCCATGTGAAAAAGACCTTTTATTTACATTGTTATTATAGCTAAGGATCCAATACATCCCTTTGTTCCATGGATAGTCTGTGACGCCTTGTTCAGAGCTTGTAATGTTCCATGTAGCAGGCTTTGAGTGTCCTTTTCTGATTTACTTTTCCCTGTCTTCACTGTGTTCATTCCCTTTTTTTTTTATTATTTAGATAGAATTAAACTCTTACAAAAGAATACTTAGTTATGAAGAACACTCCAAAAAGAATAATGGTTTTTTGCTAAAGAAAATAAATTTCTTCTACATTATTAATGTTTTCTCTCCATGTGCTGTACATATCTTGTACCATTGAGTCCTTCAAAAATATGTTACCATAACATTTCATATTCATGATATGTGCCTGTTATACCATGTATTTGTGTAGAAAAGTATTATGTTCTTTTTGTATTGTTTTCTGTTGTGTGATATATGTACTGATCTTTCCAGTCCCTCTGCTTTCCTATTTCAAATTCGCTATGCTAGACGTGAAAGCACATCCATCCCAGCATTGTCAGTTTTGCAGAAGTGCTGGGTGAACAGCCTGCCTGCCCTTCAGTAATCAGACTTGTACTGATCCCTCCCCCACACAGCCATTCAGTTTCTCCACTTCCACATCTTCATGCCTCTTATGCAGCTGAAAACAAAGGTCATGTGATCACTTATTAAAAAAAAAGGGTATTTAAACAAATATTTCACCTTACATTTCCATTTTAAACTGAATGAGTTATTTTACAAGGTAAGGTTTCACATATACTTCCAACAACCAGTGATGTCATCAGCTCCATTCACTTACATGACCAGGAATTCCTGATCGTGTAAGTAAGTGAGCTGGGTTAGTTAATTAATTTATACTAGGCACTTTGTATTTGAAGGTGGGACTCCACGCAAACATCCCTAAAACCTTGCCCGGTGGTAGTGGGGATGTAGGTGATTTTAGAAATCTGAAACCAACTTTAACAATAAGGGGCCCCAGATACCATCTTAGCCTATGTGAATGAGTAAGAGGTATATAGTACCCCTACCCATTCCCAAAAAATGTAAACAGTTAAATAAAACACAGAGTCAGCCAACCATTATCAGATACAATGCATGCTGCCTGCCAACACAGCAAAATTAAAAACCCAATTGACCTGGAACACACAACTACTGTAATTCAAATGCTACTCATAGGCTAATGTCAGCTCCTGAAGCTGTCATCAGCTATAAAATTGAAGGATAAGGAAGATTAGTGACATTATTGATCAAAAATGGCCAGTGACTCTATTTTGGCAGTGATGTTACTGCTATCCCAGCCCCTTTGCTTATGTGACCAAGGATTCCATGTAAGTCAATTTGCCAGAGATTGCAGTGGTTGCTAGGGAACCACATGCTACTTCCTTAGGATCCATTGACAGCAGGGAGCTATCATTTTTTTGAAGCACTAGAAATATTACTTCTACATATGATTTTCAGCTCCTGGTATTCTGAACCCCTGAATGGAAAACATTCTGTCCGAACCTAGGTTTGGACCAAACCATTGACTCATTGCTAATTAACCTCTTATCCTGCCTCTACACAGCTGTAGTCTATTGCTACACACTTTCAAAATGCCAAACTATGAGTTCATGCTGCTTTTTAACTGTTGTAAAAACTGGCTCAGTTTTTGCAGGGTCATTCCTGCATTGTGCATTGATGTTTGTGTTGCTCCATGTGACAATGCTGTTTATTTCATTTGGGGGGTGTATTTCAGTGCACTGCTTCAATCAAGAATATTGTGGATTTAGACTCTTTGAAATTATGTGGCCTAACAGTGATTTCTTTATTATAAACTGCTGGGACTGACTCTCTGAAAAGTGGGCTATTAAAAAGGCTTAAAAACTGTGAAGATAATCCATGTTTATAAACTGCCCGGTCTGGCCTTGTGAAATTGTGGCCTATTAAAAGGTCCTAAAACCGTTCAGAACATCTGTATTTTTTTGATTTTCTCTCTCACTCACTCTGAAATAGTATCATATTAGACAGTATAACATACTGTTCAGCAAACCTGTAAAATGTACTATAATGTAATACTTGCAGATGAAAACAGCTTGCTCTCTCACTCTGGAATTGCATTTGGTACAGACAGTACAGCAAATATGTCCAATGTTTCTGCCCTCGGTCTCAGAAAAAAATACACTTTCTATCCCTCTTTGAAATAGAGATCTATCAAAAAGGCTTAAAAAACTGTTCAACAAATATGTATTAAAAAGGGATTTAAAGCTATCTCCCTTTGAAATAGCAGCTATCAAAAAAGGCTAGAAGCTCTGTAGCAAATCTAACCATCTTTCCTGTCTTTATTCTCAGAAGAAAGAAGTTGAAATGTTTTCATTTCCAGATAAAATCTGCATCCCACCTGTCCAAGTGATGGCAGATCAGAAAAAGCCATGATTTATTCAAACTTTCAAGAGCCATCTGTGTTGTAGATAGACTCTTGTTTTTGCAGCTTGATTAATGAAATAATAATTCTAATAATGGTGCCTAGTACTAAAAATTATCTCTTCAACAAACTCATTTGGATTTTATTTAATTATCGCAAACAGCAATTTAGTGTGGAGACCCATGAGAATCAAACAGAAATGAACTTTTATTATTATGGTTATACTGCATTTCTAAAAACTGCTACCCAAATTGTTGTTGTACCATACAGAACTGTTTCACAAATGCTACCTTTAGCTAAAAGCCTTACAAAGAGGCTGCCAACTTATTCACAATCATTACAAAGATAATTGTATTTGTAAATTATTGGTTTTAGCTGTAGATGTTAAAAGTACAGGGGCAAATCTCCCCTGCACCCAAACCAAAAATGCCTCTTTACCTTGAGCTGAGATGAATTGTGCTTGCCAACTCAGGGGTACAGAAATAGCAGTTGTTCTCTGCCAGCCTTAGAGTTACCACCGTTTGATTTTTGAAACTTAAAGGTAGAGGTAATTGTTGCCATGTGGTTAAACCTAATGTATTTTAGTATTATATTTTGATTAGAAAAATGTGTTCTTCATTATAATGATTTTTTTGAGTTGTTGGCATGACCAGTATTACCATACTAAGTCAATACTTTTTAGCATTTGTATCTATAGCATTTAATTTCACTTGTGCTTGAAGAACATTCATTCGATTTTCTGGTTGTTGGTGGGATCAAATTGACAGTCGTTGTCAACCACAGGGATGAGAAAATTTGAAGGAGCAGGAGAGAAAACTTTACTTGAATTACAGTGCATCCAGATAGTTTTCACAGAGCTTAGCTGTTGCCACATTTTGTTATGTTACAGCCTTATTCCAAAATGGATTAAATTAATATTTTAAAATGTTTTAAATGATAACGTGATAGAAGTTTGTTTTGAAATCTTTGCAATTTATTAAAAATATATTTTTTTTTAAAAAAAAACGCATGTACATTAGTATTTGCCATGACATTCACAATTGAGCTCTGGTGCATCCTGTTCCCATTGATCATCCTTGAGATGTTTCCACAACTTGATTGGAGTCCACCTGTGGGAAATTCAGTTGATTGGACATGATTAGGAAAGGCATAAACCTTGGATGCAGTGAGCATGCAAATGACAAGCATGCTTGGAGCACAGCTGAAACATAAAGCCTAATTATTACGCAGTCCAAAGCTTAATGCAGGCCATAGACGGGGAGAAAAACGGCCAATTTTTCTTTAAAAAAAAACGAAAAATCGGTCGTTCAAGCGGCCGACGTTACCATCAATGGTAAAAAAAATCGGCCGATTTTCATCCCGTCTACAGCCGGCAAAAAGTGTCCCTGCAGAGAGCTCCGCTATTTCTTTGACAGTTCTTTGACAGTTCCTTGACATTTACAGCGGTTGCAACATTGTATCTATTTGTTTCCATTTAGGATACAGATGTTTTTATTCGGAAACAAATAGATACAATGTTGCAACCACTGTAAATGTCAAGGAACTGTCAAAGAACTGTCAAAGAAATAGTGGAGCTCTCTGCAGGAACACTTTTTGCTGGACTGGAATTCCTCTTATTTTTCATCCTACTTCTTCTTCTTCTTTTTCTTCTTCTTCATCATCATCATCCTCTTCTTCTTCTTCTTCATCATCATCATCCTCTTCTTCTTCTTCTTCTTCACCATCATCATCCTCGTCTTCTTCATCATCATCATCCTCTTCATCATAATCATCATCATCCTCTTCTTCTTCTTCTTCACCATCATCATCCTCTTCTTCTTTTTCATCATCATCATCCTCTTCTTCTTCTTCTTCTTCTTCATCGTCATCCTCTTCTTCTTCATCATCATCATCATCCTCTTCTTCTTCTTCATCAACATCATCCTCTTCTTCTTCTTCTTCATCATCATCATCCTCTTCTTCTTCATCATCATCCTCTTCTTCTTCTCTTCTTCTTCTTCATCATCATCCTCTTCCTTTCTTCACCATCATCATCCTCTTCTTCTTTCTCATCATCATCATCATCATCCTCTTCTTCTTCATCATCATCATCATCATCATCTTCTTCTTCTTCTTCTTCTTCATCATCATCATCCTCTTCTTCATCATCATCATCATCCTCTTCTTCTTCATCATCCTCATCTTCTTCTTCATCATCATCCTCTTCTTCTTCTTCTTCATCATCATCCTCATCTTCTTCTTCATCATCATCCTCTTCTTCTTCTTTTTCTTCTTTTTGTCTTCCTCTTGCAGGTCACTGCTCATGCGCAGATTTTTTATCGGTAAAAAAATCGGCCGATTTGCCCATCATTGCCGCGAAAATTGGACGATTTTTTTTTCCAACTTTACCGATAAAAAAAATCTGCCAAAATACCGAAAAACGGCTGAACAAATAGCCCACTAACGATCCGAAAATCGGCCGATTTTATTTGCGGCCGAAACATCGGCCGATTTTCGACCCATCTATGGCCTGCATAAAAGGGTAGTCTAATCTACCTGAAGTAAAACTTTATGAAGTTCATACTGTCTTTGCTAAAAGAGGATAAAGTTTAAGTTAATACTTATAATAATAATATAATGTTAACTGTTTTGCTATTGTACCTTTAAACTGTTTATAGACAAGTTTTTGATTTGCACTCTAGACCTGTTGATTTGGCAATAGCTTTTTCTTTACCTAAGATAACACAGTAATACGTATATTGCAAATAATTTGTTATTTTCTATTAAATATATAGACAATAAGATATAAAAAAATGTGTTAAAAAATTTGTATTTTTTTTTTTTAATTTTGACTTGGGTTTGTTTTACCAAATGAGTTTTACTGTAAAATAATAGCATACATTTTATTTATACAATGTAACCTTATGTTTCTGGTAAAAAAAATATATGATTTTTGCAAAATTAAAAAAAATATTTATTTTAAATTTTTGCCCACTTTCTTGTTATGCAACACTAAAAAAAGTAATTAAATAAAAGAAGAAAAAAGCTTTACTGTGTACTAATCAATTATAAATAGAAATAAAATATCAGGAGGAAAAACAGTAGCTAAGGGTAAAAAAGGAGGTAGGAGTTAATAAGCGAAAATTAGCATTAACTAAAGGTTATTAAGAAGCTAAACAGAAATTATTTTATAGTTTAAAAAAACACATTTAACTTTAACTAGGTTTCTATAAGTGATGTGTGATGTCACGTGTAGCTACAAGGGGTAGGCAGGTGGAGGTCAGAAGAAGTGGTAGTGGTGGTGGAGAGCTAGACATAAGAGATGCATACTAAAAACTTAGTTGCAGAGGCGGACTGACCATTTGGAAACTTGGGCACTGCCCGAGGGCCCGGGGTCAGTAGGGGGCCCCATGAGATGCCCCTGGTACCTTTTTCATAGGCTTTTTTGAGTTTAGGCAAGGACACAGGGGCCCATGATCCCCTATTGCCTGGGGGCCCCATGAGTTGTCAGTCCGCCCCTGCTTAGTTGATGTTTTTTGGGATGTATCTCTTACTGTATGTTCAAAATCCTCAAATACTTAAACATTCAAATTCATATTACAGCACTCAGGTTTTGTGATTAATAATTATATTTTATTTCAAAGTGAGGGATTCATCTAATATTTTGTTTTCTAATTGTCATTTTTCCTTGTTTTCTTTTATTCCTTAGGAGATTCAAAAATAAAAAAAGATTTATAGCATCAGAATATAATTTTTTTTAAATGAATGTCTGTGTATTGTGCTGTCAAAATAGCTAAAATCAGAAACAGTGATAAACTCTTATTTCAAACTATTGTGTGTTATGTGCAGAGCAAAATGTAATGGGAAATAAGCTACCAAAGTACTTTCAAATGCTGTAGGTTGTAACACATTCAGAACTTTGAAGGAGCTATCTCAGGGAGGTGGTGAAATATAGAATCTTTACAAATTCTGTGATAAATGTGACATGTCCAGTTAGAGCATTTGACTCTATAAAATTCTATAAAGAACATTCCCGCAGCACTTTCATTTTGGGAGCTTATTTCAAAACTACTAAATAATTGAAGAAAGTGTACATACTATGTTTTCCTGGTAAAAGTGATAAATAGCACTCAGACAGCCAGCGTAAAGAGGAAAAACAACACAGATCACAACATTACCTTCTAAGGACAAGGAAAGGTCCACTAAGTTCAGAAACAGAAAGTGTCATTTACAATCCTGAAAACATTGGCTGTTGTTTAATTTTTGTGATATGCTGCAGGCGTACTTAAAAAAGGCAGTGCAAAGATTGATGCCGTAACCCAATAAAATCAGGTTTCCCCTTTTTCTATGTAAACAAGAAAAGATAATTTTGAACTGGTTGGTATGGGATATTATATTTTATAGTGTTCACCATTGTCATGATAGATATATTTCCAAAGAACTTATGACAGGGAGGGAAACAAAATAGTGCCAAAAACAGATGCACAACCATTCATCTCTTCAATGGGTCTTCCTGTTATAACCTCCTAGATGTTTCTACTAATTACCAATTACATTACTCTTAAAGTGTTACTAAACCCACAACTCTGCATTTACTATATCTGTTCTCCCACAGTACACAGAACATGGAAATACAATTATTTTTATTTATTTTTTATTTATTTCAGGTACTTATATAGCGCCTTCAATTTACACAGCGCTTTACACATATATATATTGTACATTCACATCAGTCCCTAACCCTCAAGGGGTGTACAATCTAAGGTCCCTAACTTACATTCATATACTAGGGCCAATTTTGACAGGATCCAATTAACCTACCAGAATGTCTTTGGAGTGTGGGAGGAAACCCACGCAGGCACAGGGAGAACATACAAACTCCAGGCAGGAGGTGCCGTGGCTGGGATTCAAACCAACGACCCCAGTACTGCAGGCGGAAGTGCTAACCATTTAGCCACCATGCTGCTTAGTAAATATAAACTGCTAAATACCTTTTGTCCTCAGAAGTATATAGCAGTCTTGTGACGTCTATCAGTGTCCGGCTGAGCACTGGTTAAAGCTTGTAGGAGCAGTTTTCATTCTGCTCTGATTTTCCTATGAGGCTGCATAACCTCTGACCCTCTGTCTGGACAGTGCTGAACATCTATCATAATTGTGCTTGTCTAGGAATCTGAATATTCTCTCTTTAATTATTATAACTGTACAGACCTACTTATGATGCATGTATATTTTCTTCTTATTTACCATTAATTATGTTGTCTGAGCCTCTGTGACCAAGTCTCCGATGGGTGGCACAAAACGTGTCAGAGGGCATGGCTAGAGTGACGGCTGAGGCCAGCTAGAGCTTACATCACCTTCCATTTGACTCTTGGGGATCGGTAGAATAGTGCCCACCCCTCCTAACATATAGCTTGTCTCTGGTATGACTTGGGACACTGCTCCCCTCTCATTCTCTGCCGGTGTCTGCACACCTGCCATGAATCTAACATAGAGATTTCACTCTCCCTGATGGATGTCCTATTTATTATCATTATCTTAAAATTAAATAGTGGAAGAAAAAGAATAGTATAACCCCTAGGTTGACAGGAGCACTAGAGGATAGATGGGAGCCAACAAGTAGCTGAAATTACTAGACTACAACTACAACTAAAATCCTATTTATAGGCTATTTGGGTCTTTAATTGTAAAATAGTAGCTAAACCGCAATGACTGTGTTCATGTACTGTATGTGTTTATACTGGGAGGGTGGTTGTTAACCCCCAATTTGCCTACACTGCAGCACAAGGAACCCAGCAAAGGTCACAGGGCACTAGCTTAAAGTGGAACTCCAAGAAATACTGTTTTTTGACATTTGCTATGTAACAAATAAAATATCACAAAATGATGTGTGTTTCATATGTGGATACTGCAGCATAATCTCATACTATAATTAATTCCTGTAACTACTGTTATTGCTGAACTTCCTGCACTGTAAATTACAGTTCTGTCTCTCATACAGTCAAGAGGTGCATTGCTCGCTCTCTCTTTTGCCACCCTTCCTCCTTTTCACAGAATACAATGCTTCTATGATTGAACAAGAGGAGAGGGGCAGATAAACACCAGGACCTCCCTTTGTTCAATCACAGAAGGTCTTTTATTCTGCAAAAAAAATACAAAACCTACTAAAAATGGAAAGAAGGGAAGGAAAGGAGTGATCAACCCTTTTATTGATTGCTCAAGAGATGTAGTAGTAGTGATTTACAGTACTGGAAGTTCAGTGACTACATCAGAAGAGAGAATGATCCTATGAGTTTTAATATACACTGCAGCATCCACACGTGAAACACTCATCTGAGATAATAAATTCATACATAGTAAATGTCAAAAAATAGTTTTTTTTCCAGAAGTCTTTTGGATCAAACAGCCAAATATTCTAGAATAATTGGAAGTAGTGAGTTTAGGTGATTAAGTCTTGGTTCACACTGAATGCGACTTTCAAATTGCGCTTCTTCACATGACGTAGCACAATTTCAAAGCCTCAAGTCAGTATGATTTCAGGTGTGACATACCTGATATCTGACACCCACCTGTGCCCATCAGTGCCACCCACCTGTGCCCATCAGTGCCCCAGCAGTGCCACCCACCTGTGCCCAGCAGTGCCACACATCAGTACCCATCAGTGCCACCCAGCAGTGCCACCCAGCAGTGCCAAGCAGTACTGCCAGTCAGTGCCCAGCAGTGTCGCCAGTCAGTGCCATCAGTCAGTGCCACCTATCAGTGCCCGTCATTGTTGCATATCAGTGCCAGCTCATCAGTGCTGCCTATCGGTGCCCATTAGTGCCACCTATCAGTGCCCATCAGTGCAGCCCATCGGTGCCCATCATTGTTGCATATAAGTGCCAGCTCATTAGTGCCGCATAGCAGTGTCCATCAGTACCCTCCTGTGGTGCATATCAGTGCCCATCAGTGCTGCCTATCAGTGCAGCCTCATCAATACACATCAGTGAAGG